TGGTCCCTGTTTGTGCCATGCTTCCCTTGCCCTTATGTATTCATGCCATTGGTTCTCTTGTTCATTGTGTCATGTTCTGATTGGTTGTCTAGGTCATGTGTCTTGTTTCCCATTTGTTTGTTCATGTCATGTGACCCTCTTTGTTTGATACAAATAGCCCTCATGTTCCTATTGTGCCTCTTCGTGTATTGAAGTTGTAACCCGCTGTTGGTGAGTCTAGTCTGTTTGTGCCTCGTCAAGCCTGTTCAAGTCAAGTCTGTTCATGTCAAGTCTCGGATTATTGTTTGGATCACCTGTAAATAAACTGCACTTGGGTTCTTCACTACGCTCGCCTTCAGTGGACTGAATCGTTACACCTAACAACCACCCAGAAGACACTAGCAGCACCCTAAAATGTCCAGAGTACCCTAACAACCATCCAGAAGACCCTAGCACCATCTTAAAAACAGGGAGCAGGTAGTACAAGCTGCAAGATATTCTGTGACTTATAATGAACCTGGGCTTACATCTTCTTTCAGATATTTTAAGTATATTTTTGTCTTTCTCGCTGGAGGTGCAACAACATATTTTCTTTAAAGCTATTGACCTTAGCAACTTCATAGCAACCTGTAAAGTTTTGCATTTGCAAGCACTATTCACGTTAAGAAAATGTAAAAATCTAGTTTATAAATTGTCATTATATAAACTGATAAAAGTTCCAAAGGCTTATAGCATCACTGGATATATTTAGTCAGTTTAGTTCATTCATAAATAAGCTTTAGTTCGCCCTTGTAGTAGAACAAGCTGCTATTATAATATACTGTCTGGTTTTGGAACGAAGCCCACTCTGCAGATATCTTGGCGCAGGGTCCTTCCTGGAAGTCTCAGCTCCGTTTAAGTCCAGGGGGGAGTGGAAGTTAATACTGTAATGTACAAGAACCATCTCTCAGCGTGAGGGATCTTTCATATCTCCCTCGGCATGGATGAAACCGTAAGGAATAAATGCTTCTAATGGTGTGTCAGACTCCGATTTAAACAAAGCACAGACACCGTTGTCCTCACTACAGCACAGGTGGAAAAGGGAAAAATAATTTTGATTTAGATTTATGTTTAAGTGACGTGACATGTGGCATGTGGCCAAGTATGGTGACCCATACTTGGAATTAGTGCTCTGCATTTAACCCATCCAAAGTGCACACACACAGCCGTGAACACACACCCGGAGCAGTGACATGTGACATGTGGCCAAGTATGGTGACCCAATTATTGTTATATTGTTGTTCAAATTAATCAAGTCAATTTAAAATGGTAGTTTGATGTGATTCATTAAATATAAAAAAGTGGTTACAAATAAAACACAGTAAAAGATAAAATATTACTAATTGTGCGGATTAATTTTAACCGTCATATATAATTTATCCTATTCATATTTTAGTTGAGAGTTAAATTTTACATTTTGATTAACAGCCCTATTTGAAAAATAAATATATAAATATGAGACATTTAAAAGCATTCATTGTTTTTATTTATTTATTTATTTTTACATTTGTATTTAAGTACATCTGACAAAACTGAACAGCTTTTGTTGCTAAATCTTACAAACGTTTAACATGCTTTATTTTACATTTGGCCCCTTTTTGATTCAAGATGTATTCTTATATATAAATACGTGTACTGTAATCATGGAAGACCAGAGTGTTATTGGTTATATCTTTCTCTCTCTTTCTCTTTTCCTTCCTGTGATAAAGATGGAGGCAAAAGGTGACCTACTTAAACTGGCTGAATTAGGCCAATGCTTCATATTTCATTCTTTTTGTTCATTTGGATCACAAGAGCTCAGATTCCACAGGAGATTTAGATAAGCACAGAAGCGCTCCCTCCGGTGGGTCAGCTGTGTGTTACTGGACCACGCCTGTCTGATTGTAGGCACCCCGCAGACTCCCTGAAGGAGTTAAACAAATAATCTTCTAGTGCTGTCTGCTGTTTTAGTCAGGAAATCCAGTAGACTTTATTTAATTTAATAAATTAATTTAGCTTTGATCTTTATATTATTACCTATGTCACAAATATATTACATATGTTATGTGGCACAAAATAAAAAATTCTAACGACTTAAAAAAAAAACATATCTGGAGACCATAGTTTCATAGATTTGGGGGCCACCCAGAGCACCCTAGCAACACTCTAAAACATCTGAAACGCCATGCTTAACACCCTAACAACCACCTAGCACCTAGCAGCACCCTCAAAACATCCAGAATACCCTAAAATCCAGAAGACCCAACTGAGAACACCTTAGCAACATCTTAAAAAACACTCTAGCAACCACATAGTAACACCCTAACAACCACCTAGAACAAGTAGCAACCACCTAGAAACGCTGTAAATACCACCTAGAACACGCTGCACCACCTAAAACCACTCAGAAGCAACACACCAAAACATACAGAAGACACTAACAACCACCCAGAACACCTTAAAACCTATCTAGAACACTTTAGCAATACCCTAACAACCACCAGAATACTTTAGCAACCACCTAGCAACAGCCTAGAAACCACCCAGAAGACCTTAGCAGCACCTTATGAACATCCAGGACACCTTACCAACACCCTAACAATCACACAGAAGACCCTAAAAACTATCCAGAACATCCAAACAACCACCTAGAACACCCTAGCCTCACGGCCTGTGCAAAAGCTGCTTGAGAAAGTGTAAAAATCTAGTTGTATTTCATATTTTACTCACAATGTGACATATGTAATAATGAAGTGGATCATCTGTGTGTCTTTCTCATGACTGTGTGTCAGTAGCTGGGATCATTGGGTCTGTTTGTATGATGGTGATATTGTGGAAGGTTGATGTGGACTGTCTGTTTGATCAGCTGCTGTTTTAGGGCACTGTTGTGTTGTTCACTATGTTGCAGTGTGAATCTGCTGTTAAATGAATGCTTAAGGATGTTGTGCTGCTGATGGTATCTGTTCAATTCTTGGTCCAGGGCCGCAATTACTGTCCTGTAAGCCTGGGAACCGCAATTGTGCAGTTTCTTCATCCGCTGCTTGTCTGTTTAGATGTGTGTAGATGTGTTAGCAGCTTGTGCGTGTGCAGTTCCATTTTCTCCTTAATTTTAGGGTTAGATGTTTGCACTATGAACAGTAAACTTTTTAGGGAACCTCATAGAATACCCTAGCAACTGGGTGGCTCCCTGTTTTCTTCATAAAGGAAAATGTAAGAGGAAAAAAAGGAGAAATAGTGAGAATCAATCAATTATGAATAATTTATTGCTATTGTGTGAATAATATGCAATCAGTAATCACTTAATAAAAATGTAACTGTAGTCTGATTACTAGTATTTGAAAATGTAATATAATTTAACTACAAGTACTTCATGTTTGGAATCTGATTACGTAATCCAGATTACATGTAATCAGTTACAACCCAGCACTGTTTGTTGTAATGATGATGATAATTGTGTATTTAACTTTTTTTATTATTATTATTTAATTGCAGGGATGCTGCAGAATGGAAAGAAGTTTGACTCGTCACGCGACAGAAACAAGCCCTTCAAATTCAAGATCGGCCGACAGGAAGTCATCAAAGGCTGGGAGGAAGGAGTTGCACAGGTAATTGAGTCTGATGCTGTGCTGCATGTATTCTTGAATATTTCTGTCAGATTCCACTCGCTTTATAGTGTTTGCATCTAATTTCAGATGAGTTTGGGTCAGAGGGCGAAGATCACCTGCACCCCAGATATGGCTTATGGGGCCACGGGACACCCTGGTGTCATTCCTCCCAACGCCACTCTTATATTTGACGTGGAACTGCTGAAACTGGAGTGAACCACTAGCTTTTGCAGGGCTGAAGTTCTCAAATGGAAAAGGAGAAACATGAGTCCCCACCAATAAAACCTTTGTCATCTAGACACTCAACTTTTGTGTTTTTTGCCAAAAAATGCAAGGTATATCTTTCTACACATGACCGTAATGCAATTTTAGCATCTCAGTTTCATTTTTGGTACATGCAAAGTGTTTTTTTCTTTCATACTACACTTTCCTGAAACTATGTGAATACAATTCTTAAATCAGTATTTTAATTTGTACCAGACTGAATCCACTGCCTTGCTGAATTTGGTAGGGTTAGTATTTTACAGGAGGGTGTAATGGGTTATAATTCTGTATTCTGAGGGGCATTAACAACCACTGTCTGCATTGCCACTTTTGATAAAAGCATATCCTGCTGAATGCATATGATAAAATGATAATGTTACTGTATTTACTATATATTTTATATATAAATCTATCCCTTAAACATTTGTTATAAGTCTCATTCAAATCTATAAAAATGAGATGTGGAACAAACTGAATATGTACCGTGGAGTGCTTTGGCTTCAATTAACATTTTATCAACTTGCTCTTAATAAAGATATTTGAACTCTTTGAAATCTTTGTGGTGTTGGAACTGGAACTGATACATTTCTTTTTACTGATTATTATCTTTTCTCCTGTTTCTGTGCATAAGAGAGAGCAGGCAGTAAGAATATTAAGTGTTTCATAACTCGGAGGCAAGACATTATATTTTCCATTAACCAAAATTAATATGCATTTGTATAAAACATTATTTAAGCTGAGACACTGCAGGTTTTAAACATTATTTATAAACATAGATAGATAGATAGATAGATGAAGCGTTACCTCACAAACAAAAACAGTGGGATATGTCGCCACCTTCTGCAATTAATGTGACATGGCGATTTTGAGACCCTCAAAATAATAATCGGTATCGTATCTCACTCTAACTATACTATATCATACTAACTATACTATATTACATGACTATAACTGTCATTTAATGGCGGCTCTTAGCCACAAATAACATCCGAATATTAAAAAAAAAAAACATTAAACGGAACCTTTGTTTCAAAGCATCTACACCCTAAAAGTAAAGTGCTGATATGCACTGCACATCCGGGTCAGAGCTGCAGGTCGCTTGAAGCTGATTGGCTGTTTGTGGTTTGTTGTTAACTGTGATTGGCTGGAGCGCAACACGCCTGTGAGCGGCGTGCGGCGTCTGTGTCTGGTAAATAGAAAGAACGCAAGGTCAGAAAACTGATATTGTTTTGTTTTTAAACATTTTGTTTTAAAACATTATGATGTCGCCGCTTTTATGTAAGTGACGTACATTAGATGATCAATTATTGTTAGTTTTCAAAGGCTCTAAACTGTATAATCTAAATAGGCCTGTAAGTTTGCAAACTTTAATGGATAAAAAGTGAAAGCGGTTCATCATCAGAGATGGATACGGTTTTAAATGGGACATTTAGTAACATGCTTTGATTAATGGTAATATAAATGTAATATAATAATGATGACATGTTTGCGATCTTATCAAGTCACGTCTGGAGTCTTTATGTGTTTAGTCATATCTAGTCATAACAAACATTGTGTGACTTTAAGTATTCAAGATCATATATATATATATATACTGTATATATCTATCTTGAATACTGAAACTTAGCATATTTTTATTATCTGTTTTGTCTTGTCAGCGTCATTCTGTTTGTGCTGTGGAAGCTGATTCTGATATATATGATTCTGATCTGTGTGCGTGTACACAGTATATGCATACATACAAACATATAGATATACTCCAGTCTTCAGTGTTACATGATCCTTCAGAAATCATTTTAATATGCTGATTTGCTGCTCAAGAAACATTTTTTATTTAATTTCTCATTTCTTCTTATTTATCAATTTGGAAACATTTTACTTAGTAAAAACCTGTTTCTTTTTATTTCTTTTTTATTAGATATCCATGAGTAACTAAACCCGCACTCCTTTACCCAATGCATACAACATGTTGACTGCACGGAAAGCATGTGTGTCTCTGACAGCCAGACGACTCCTGGGGGCATCTGTATCCTCGACCCTTGACCCCCAGCGTCATCCCAGACCGTTCCATACTGCCACCCCACACAAAGATGAAGTGAAGATCCACAAGGGCTGGGCCGCCCTGGCCAAGAAGCAGCTGAAAGGGAAAAACCCAGAGGATCTGATCTGGAAGACTCCGGAGGGCATCTCTATTAAACCTGTGTACACTCAGAAGGACACCGCCATGGTCCAAGATGAGCTGCCGGGAGTCTTCCCATTCACCCGAGGGCCGTACCCCACCATGTACACCTACAGACCCTGGACCATCAGGCAGTATGCTGGATTCAGCACTGTAGAAGAAAGCAACAAGTTTTACAGGGATAATATTAAAGGTATGACGTCACAGCATTAAAACTACATCAGTTCATTCATGTGAAAATCAAGTTAAATTATATATTGAATTATACAGTAATACAATCATAAAAAATGTAGAATAAAATAATAATTTTAAAATAAACAGTCAAAAAAATAATAGTTAAAAAAAAATATATATGTATGCATATGTACAGTGTTTGCCATACATTGATTTATTCATTGATACATTGACCGCCACGAATAGATTTTTTTTTGCAGTATCTATACACCGATACAATGCAGCTGCGTTTTCTTTCTCTTCTCTCTGACAGCGAGTTCACGCGCACAGCATAATGAGAACATTTATAAACACGTTGTCCAACAAAATACACATTTAATAAAATATTTTTACTTCAAACTTTCCTCATTAGTCGAGTGTTTGAAATGACATCCTCTTGTGATCTGATGTGGCTTCTTATCATTAGAATCATTATTTTATAGTAGTCTATACTGTAATAAAGGCAATGTCAATTACCATTATATTATAAATAGACTTTATTCTTATATTTCCGCGGTCGTGTGTGCATGTTCGGTCAGGTACAGCGTTTCCATCTTCTTTTTATTGAGCTACTGCAATAGCTGGATGCCTTTGTCCATAATAGGGATTTCCTGGAAGGTTCTATTACATCTGTGAGGCATATTTGAAGTTTCCGCAGAAGGGCGCCCTCCGACTTTTGAGTATGAACGAAACATACATTACATGTGTACTCTCTAATGCTCAGACCACCCTATTTTGGGTAAAAATAGCAAAAATGAAAAATAAAAATAATACTCTCTAAAGAAGTAAATATATGCAAATCCGTAAGTTTTTCTCCAGTGTTTTACCACCTCAAGTTGTTTTCATTAATGTAAAACTATACCTCATTGTCATGTTCTAGCCTTGTTTTATCTTTCAATAAAAATCTAAAATTTTAAAGTTGTCGCAGCTTTTCCCTGTGGTATCAAAAATGGTATCGAATATCAATATTTTTATTGTATCGAAGTTATAAATTCCAGTAAGTGTAAGTCAACTGTGCAAGTGAACGTCTGTGGGAAACACACACACACACACACACACA